GATTCTCAGAGTCAGCCTAACATGGCCACTCCTCCTGTTGGGTAATTGGAGACATCTCCCATCTATCTGTCCATCCGACCTTCTGTTCATCTGTCCTTCCCTCCACTCTTCCAACTCCCTCCGTTCCTCCTGTCCATCTACTTATCCATTCATTTATTCAAAGTAGATGCTAAGATAATTATTGGATAAATTAATTTTAAAAATCTTTATTGTGAGAACTAGTATGTGCCAGGCACCGCGCCAAACAGCGTGGCAGGCGTGGACATACATGGACATTTCCCAACTGACCCGCAGCCTAACTAACTGAAGGGGCCCAGTGTGCTCACTGCTGCCACCCAGGCCAGCACAGCGTGTCCAGAGGTGCCCTAAGGGCTTGTCACTGGCTGAGGGGATATTATATGGTGGAAATCCAAGTTTCATTGATAAATTAATAGACCAACATCTGACCGAACATTCTCCGTCTTTTTCTCTTTTGTCTGTTTGCTTATTTTGTTTTGTTTTCTGAAATTTGTTTCACAACAGATTCTGTGGCAACAGCATCCGGGCCACTGCTCGTGGAAGTTGCCAAAGCTCCTGGTGCCAGCCTCGGGGTTGCCCTCACTGCCTCCATGTGCTGTGACAGGCAGGTCATCGTCATCGACAAGATCAAGTCCGCGAGCATCGCAGACAGGTGAGTGGCAGTGAGCACCTGCTTTTCAGAACTGTACCAGGTTTAAATATGTGTACAACTCAATAGTGATACGAAGCCAGTAGATGATCTAATACACGTCCACATGAGAGAAAAACTCAGCTCAATTCAAGGTGGAGGAGGGTGAAGGGGAAGGGGAGGGGAGATGGCTGTGCTCCCACCCCGGGCACAATGTAAGGGTGTACAACACCCCTCTGGGGGCGGGAAACAACTACAACAGGGACTCTACCTAACAAAGGCAAACATTGTAACCTAATTGTACCTCACATGAATCTGAAATCTAAAAAAAAATTAAATATGTATACAGAGGGTGCCAAAATATTGCATACACATTTTAAGAAAGGTAAGAACTGTATTAAATTTGTAGTACTTAAGTCACATTGACTTCTGCAATTATAAGCGATGCTCAGATGTGACTTGTGTTCATCTTCGGTTACCAATAGAAGAGGTCTAAAAATTAAGTTAGTGAACTCATCCTAGAAAAAGTGCCACCCTGCTGAATGTCACTACGGTCCCCAGATGGCCAAGGGGAGTGCTTTGAAGATGACCACGGTGACATTCAGCAGTGAGGCGCGTAGCACTTTTTCTAGGATGAGTTCACAAACTTAATTGTCAGATCTTGTATTTTGAGTATTACAATTTTAATACAGTTTTCTCCTTTGTTAAAGAGTGCATGCTTTTCCTGGTAGCCTCTGGGTGTACACGCACACATATGCACACATGTGTAACATGTCGTGGGCACACGGTGAAAGCAGCTCTCTGCATGGTTTGTGCAAGTTCAACAGGAAGCAGGTTACTGTTGTGGGACTTAAAAGTTCACCCGCATCGGCCGCCCTGGGATGAGATTTCACCACATCCAGATACTCAATGTGGCCTTTACAGCAGCAAGAGGAGCCAGGAAACTGAGCTCACCTTCTGTCCGTGTCCCGGGGGACAGGCCATGCTCCTGACTGGCACAGGGTGGCTGAGCAGGTCTCTACTGAGCCCCATGCCGAGAAGTCACTGGTTTCCTGCATTGCTGACAATTAAATACTGCTACCATAAAATTTTATTTATTTTTTTTTTTTT